CACCTTCACGCCGTTTTGGAGCAGCTCCGTATCGCCAAGTACAAGGCAAACCGCGACAAGTGCGAGTGTGCCCAGCAAGAGCTGGAGTACTTAGGATACTACCTGTCTCTTATACACATCTAGATGTGTATAAGAGACAGGTGAGAGAGAGAGAGAGAGAGAGATGCAGCATGCAGCATGTCAGTGGTGGGGAGCACAAGGGCAGGCGCTGACCTTCCTCTGGAGAGGTCCTTTCACTGTTTGTGGTAGAATCAGTCGGATTGCTCTCCGGGGGGTGCAGTGCTTGCAAGTGCTCATTGATATACTGTTCCTGATGGACGAGCCAGACTGAATGATCCTCCAGCATTTGATGATAGAAAGAGTTGATATTTCCCACTGTGTGCACACTACCGCCATTGTCCCATAGGGTCCATGAATTATCTGCAAAGATAAGAGCACTGAAATGATCTGGACGGTATAAGATATATGCCCGAATATTCGGATCCCTGTTTGGCACGTGGTTTTGCGGAGCAGGCTGGAACTGCAGTCGCCTATCCATAAATGCCATAGCCAGGACTTCGATGTTCACACCAGGTGTAGTGTTGTCGTCCTCTGGGCAGACGGCACGGTGCTCTTCTTCTATCCAGTGAACAACGTCTGCGAAATCAGAAATAGTATAAGGATTACAATTGTAAGCAAGGAGACATAAATTAATGGCATAGTACACACAGCGCCCTCACTGTAGCGCTATGGCATTGTCTGATTCCGCAGGTTGAGTGGGGGATACGCTCACGGCGGGGGGAGACTCGTTCGATTCTGTGGGTTGCACTGGTGGCGCAAACTCGTTGTTGTCTTGACCAATTGGCTCCGGTATGTGCTCCGGAGAGAGATGATCTTATTTCGGGGGCTCCATCTGGTAATCAGGAGACGGGTCATTGTCATTTGGGGCTGGGGAGCAAGCGGGGCTAGGTGGATGAGAGAGGGGCAGGTCAGGTGGGTGAGAACTGGGTGGACCAGATGTGGGAATCGGAAGCTGATCAGCCGCACTTGTGCTCAGGGAGGCTGCTAGCCGTGCAAACACTGCACAAGTAGTTGCACCTCGTGTCTGGTTGTGGCATGCTGATACCACACGGGCCCCAGTTAGGGCCCGGTCCTGTAGCAGGCATGGTTCAGGCCTAGTTACCGGGTCACGACAGGCTTAGTTTAGGTCCAGGTAGGCCCAGGACCCGTCGGTTCAGTTGAGGGTCCGGTAGGCCTCGTTTAGACCCCACCAGACCCAACGGCTAGTTTAGGCCAGGTACCGGTTCATCGGTAGGCCCAGTCAGCAGCGTAGTTTGGCGCCCATTTTCAAATTTTGAAATCGGATCTGAACCGTTGGGCCTGATCAACGGTCCAGACTCAAAGGACCTCAGAAGGACTAAGGCCGACCAGCACTATATCAGTTGGGTACCAGCCTCAGTCGGTAGGTTAGAGTAGACAGGAGGTTAGTCTTCAGGATTAGCGCAGCATTTCAGCGTTAGCAGGATTAGCGCACCACTGCAACATTACGAGGAGAAGCGAGGAGAAGGAGCTCCACGGCAGAGGGAAAGTAGTGCAGCATTGGGAGCAGCGCCAGCCACCGGCCCAGCCCGCAACCCAGCGTCAACCCTTTCAGCGCCATCGCTACCGTGACAGGTACCAGGGAGAAAGGTTTTGCCTTGTCTCCCTCATCTCTCTCTCTCTCTCTCTCTCTCTCTCTCTCTCTCTCTCTCTCTCTCTCTCTCTCTCTCTCTCTCTCTCTCTCTCCTCCTACCTTCTCAGTCTAAGTCTAAGTCTACTCCTGGGTTCTCCTACGGGACTACTACGAGTATGAAGGATGGTTACGAATTTTGATGACATTGGAGACAGCGACATTGGGACTATAGGTTGAGGACTACTCGTGGGATCTGATTTCATCTTCCTCTGGAGATGTACTTGACATTGTGAGATTGATATCTGAGACATTATGAGACACTGTGTTCACAACATTTCGGATTTTCGCTACCTCTGACATTTCAAGATACTATCTTTGGAAACATTGAGTTGACGCCATCTTCCCTCTCCTCCTCCCTTCGTCTCTCTCCTCCCTCCATTCGTCCGTGGATGATCTCAGACCCTAGCCTTTCGTCTATGTCCAAGGCCAGGGCTTTCACGCCCCTGATGTATGATTGAGAATGTTCGATTCCAGTCTGAGTTAGGTCAGAGTCAGTCCATGTATCTCAAGTCTTCCACTGTATTTGTATTAACTCTGTATTATCTAGTCGGTTCTGGGAATCTGCGCCATACTTTTGACTGTGTTTCACGAGTATGCAACAGTTTGGTATCGGAGCAGACCAGCATTGGATGACTCACCATTGATTGATTGATTGATTGATTGATTATCTAGACTTGTTCTCTGTTATCATTAAATCGCAAGTTGCAAATTTTTTTTTCTTTTCTCGTAGTTACGTAGTAATTAGGTCGTTTGAATTATAATTCTAGGTTTTGCTATTTTTCTCTATACTGTGCAAATTAGAAAATCGCTAATCACAATTAACCTAATTAACGCTAATTAGGGTTAGTCCTAACCTAATCTACACGACCTATCAAACCTATGGGAGGTAAGTGCCTGCCAGGCACCGCGTCAGTTAAGGCAGATCGGGCCTCAGCACGGCCACATTCAAACTGCAACTTCTCGGAACTTTCACTTTTTGCAAAACGCATCTTTTATTGCGTGTAAAGGTTGAATCTTTCCAGCAAATTGTGTATCTTCCTACCGCCATTGATCTTCTACTTATTTAGTGACCTCGTAATGATGCTAAATTCTCCCGATTGAATTTCATAAAATTATTAAAATTATGTTTAAATGTTGAAACTTGCTTAAACTTTATTCATTTTTACTTGTGCAAATTTAAAATTCTTTAATTAAATATTTAACTTTTGCGAAATTAATTGTTGTAAATTTAAATATTTTTTAATTAAATATTTCATCTTTTGCCAAAATTAAATTTTATTTAATTAACTCATATTTTCTGATTAAAATTTATTTAATTAAATTATTATTATTATTATTGTTTTTTATTAAACTGATTAAAACTGATACTACACTTGATCTTAGCCGAAAGGCCAAGAAAGGAATTAAATAAATAATTAAATATTTTTGTGGAGGGGATTTTTTTTTTTTAAATTAGTGTTAAGCTTTGAGGTCAGGGAAGAAAGGGACTGTCTGTGCATTGTTTGCCTATCTGCCCTTCTTTCACCCCTACCTTCTCTCTCTCCTCCTCTCGGTACTGCGGACTTCAGTCTCCGCCCACGTCAGCATTGTGCCACATCAGCAGCGGGCCACGAACGCAGATTGCCACATCAGCCGCGTGCCACCTCATCGTGCCACAACAGCCGAGTGCCAAATCAGCAGCGCCACATCAGCATGTGCCACGTCAGCGGTGACACGTCAGCAACAGACGAAGACCAGAGTACTTAATGCGCCGCAATCAACGGCTTGTTGAGCGCAGATCCGCAGGAACAAAGCCCCAATAGGGACGTAAGACCCCTCGGATCCGCACGACCATGGCCGCTACCGCTGACGCCAATGCACAAGCCAGCCCCAAGAGGCCGGTTACCCCTCCTATACCAGTTCAACAGGCAGATGAAACACTACTAACGTTTCTCAAACACCTCCAACTTTACTCGGAGACCACTGCAGTTGAACTAAGCAAGTGGGAGGAGGAGGAAGCTGTCCGCCAGCAGGCAATCCAACGCCAGCGGGCAGAGGCAGAGGCAGCACGTCAGTTGGTCGCAGCAGAAGCTGCAGCAGCTGCACGGTTGCAACAACAGCAGGTCGAGGCAAGTCAGAACCAAGTTCATTATCAAGTTACAGTGGAGCTCGCCAACGAAGAAGCCACGTACTGGAGGTTACTCCGACAACAGCATATTCGAGCAAACGAAGAACAAGAGGAGCCGACCGAGGAAGAGAGAAACAAGGAGGCCACAACAGTTTTAATGGAGAATCTGTTGTACACCTGCAATTGGCAGCAACGTGAATTGCTGGCCATACGACAGGTCTTCATCCGCCACGAAACAACGTTTAAAACACTGGACAAGAAGATCACTACCCTGCAGGCCGAGATCAGCACACTACAGGCCGCCAACAACTAGCGGCAGACAATCAACGACCAACTGCAGACTGATGTCAGCACGAGGTTGGCACGACTGTCGGCAGTTGAGTCGACGGGCAGTGCAGTAGCAGACTGCAGCCCAGGTTTGGCCGCGCAGACCAAGCAACTCGAGGAGCGGATCAACCACGTGGTAGCATCCCTCGGCTACATCTGCAAGTTTGCTGGAGGATCAACAGTTAGCAATCAGCTGCAGACGCTCAGTGACCGCGTCCAACAACAACTGGCCGCCGTCGCCAAGGAATGGAAGATGCCGAACTTCAAGATTGAGAAGTTCGACGATTACCACAAGACCGATCCGCTGCAGTGGTCGATGGCATTCAACGTGGAGGCAGACGTACATCACTTCTTACCTGAACGGCGACTTGACGCACTCTACCTCCAACTGATTGGAGGGGCGCAGGCTTTCAGGACTCACATGGCCCTCACGTTGGAATGCACCATCGCCACCCTCCACACCAAGATTATGTGGGAGGAGTTTGAGAAGAAATGGAAGACCCGGTTCATGGTCAACAATGACAAACAACACGCCTTGAACAAGATCTTCTGCATATTCCAAGGCCAACAACCTTCACGGGAGTGGCTGACAGAGTGGCAACGACTCGTCGCCACCCCGGAGTAGAACTTACCATTCGACGCAATCCGGGTCGAATTTTCACCCGCTCTTGCGATGCCTTGACAGCTTCTCTGGCAGCGAATTCCAGTATGAGACCTTTGATGCCATGATCTCAAAGGCAAGGGAGCTCATACAAGGTAACCGGCGTGCGGCCAACGAGGCCCGCCAACAACCCGGTTACGTGGAGAAAGGCAAAGGCCAGCGGACGCCGCAAGTAGCGGAGATCCAACAAGGATCAAGTGAGGACCACGCAACAGCGTCTACATCAAGTGACGAAGATGTGGCGGCAGCGATACCACCGCAACGATCAAGACCCCGTAGGGGAAAACATAAGGCGAAACCAGCGTTGGCGGATGGAGCACGACAGTCACCCTAGACGAAATTCGGTATCAACCGAAGACATGTTCAAACTGAGGCAGAATAGGGATGCTGTTTGTGATGCAACAGCACCAAACACATCACCAGCGCATGCCTCGACAAGGACAAGGAAAATGTCAAGCGTCCAAGCTCGGGAAACTGAGCACCGCGGGAAGTGCAGTGACATCACTCCCCAATCCGCTGGACTCGGTTGCCTTGCTAGCAGTCTCTCTCACGTCCGGGGATGATGTGGTAGTCGCAAGCTCTCGTATTGATTTTGCGAACTATGTTGTCGAGCTGGTCCCGCCGTTGAACCAGCCTCTCCACGTGCAAGATTCAAGCACATTCAAGGTAGTTCCGTCGTCGGCCAATGAACAGATCGCTTCACCAGCCCTTCTATCGGAGGATCCGTCAACTTGGGCGAGTCTTGAGGAACTCGAACCGTTGACGGTTGAGGATTTCCAATGGTTGCCTCTTCCCTCCACCGGTTCTTTGCCAACACCGCATTGGAATGCCTTGATGGCACATTTGCGCGAATACTTGCACGCTGCAGTACCACCTCCGTCGACGGACGGCGGAGTAGCGATTGTTGACCTTCGTAGCTATCTTGCGAAGATCGACCGCGAGCAAGCAACGCAACGGTACGTCGACATCGACGCGCCGCTCCTCTACATCCTCATTCACATCGGAAAGGCAACCTGCAGTGCCTTGATCGATTGTGGAGCATCTCGCAACTACATCAGCCAAGACTTCATGGCACGCGTCGGGCTAGGCCCGCGCATTCAAAGGAAAAGTCAGCCTACGCACGTCACGTTAGCCGATGGTCACACGCAAAAGTCAATCGACCGTTGCGTTGACTCCGTGCCCGTGTACTTCGCCCCGCTAGCATGTGAGGCCGTGTCATTCAACATATTGGACACTAAGTTCGATATGATCTTAGCCATGTCGTGGCTGCAAAGCGAAGACCATCCGGTAAACTTTTATCGACGCACCGTTCACGTTCGTGATCGGCGTAACGAACTAGTCCCGTGTACGATGCCGCTTCCTCATCCTTCGATTGGTTGTCACGTGGTCTCCGCGGTGAGCATTCGCCAATCCATCCGGCGGAATGACATCGAGGAGATGGGCATATGTTTTCTTCACGCCCTCCCACCAGGTGACAAGCCCAAGACGGACACATCGGACCCATGCATCATTGAGCTTTTGGACAGCTATGAGGATGTCTTTCAAGCTCCCGCCAGAGTCGTACCGGATCGGCCCATACGCCACGGGATCGCTCTCGAGGACGACGCCGTACCTCCGCGCGGATGTATCTACCACATGAACGAAGAGGAGCTTCAAGTGATTCGGGCGCAACTAGACGACCTCTTGGCCAAAGGCTGGATTCGCCCTAGTTGTTCGCCATACGGTGCTCCCGTTCTCTTCGTCCGGAAGAAGAACAAGGACCTTCGTTTGTGTATCGATTATCGAAAACTTAACGCGCAAAGGATCAAGAATGTCGGCCCTCTCCCTCAGATCGATGATCTTCTCAAGCGACTAGGCGACGCCAAGTACTTCTCGAAGCTTGACCTCAAGTCCGGATATCACCAGATCGAGATCCAGCCAAGAGATCGGTACAAAACCGCATTCAAGACGCAGTATGGACACTTTGAGTGGATCGTCATGCCTTTCGGTCTCACCAATGCCCCGACTACTTTCCAAGCGGCTATGACGACGAAATTTTGCGACCTGCTCGACCGCACTGTACTCATTTACCTTGATGATATCTTGGTTTATAGCCGGTTGCTGGACGAGCACCTCGAGCACCTTCACGCCGTTTTGGAGCAGCTCCGTATCGCCAAGTACAAGGCAAACCGCGACAAGTGCGAGTGTGCCCAGCAAGAGCTGGAGTACTTAGGCCATTACGTTACGCCGCAAGGCATTCGTCCGCTCGCGGACAAAGTACAAGACATTCAAGATTGGTCGGACCTCAAGTGTACTACCGACGTCCGCTCCTTTCTTGGCTTAGCATCATATTACATGCGCTTCGTCAAAGGTTTTCAACGGATCGTCGCACCATTGTCGCGACTTCAGTCCCCCTTGGTGCCCTTCGAGTTCAATGACGAAGCCCGACACACGTTCCATACGCTGAAGACGGCCTTGCTCCAAGCTCGCGTCTTAAGCATCTATGACCCGACCTTGCCTACCAAAGTGACTACGGACACTTCCGGCTATGGCATTGGCGCGGTTTTGGAACAGCATGACGGCATAGACTGGCATCCGGTTGAGTACTTCAGCCAAAACGTGTCGCCTATCAATACACTTAATGATGCGAGGAAGAAGGAACTGCTAGCTTTTGTCACCGTACTTAAGCGTTGGCGTCACTTTCTCCTTGGGCGTCGACGATTCACGTGGGCAACAGACAACAATCCGTTGACTTATTACAAGACGCAAGACACGGTGAGCAGCACGATCGGTCGGTGGATGTACTTCATTGACCAGTTCGACTTTACCCCCAAGCATATACCGGGCTCCTCGAAAAAGGCAGCAAATGCTCTCTCGCGAAGACCTGATCTTTGCGCCTTGGTGCACTCCACATTCGGCCTTGACGAGGACCTGCAACAACATTTCATAAACGGCTACAAGTCGGATCTGGGATTCTCCACACTCTAAGCGGACTTATCATCGGATCAACCACCGACAAGCAATTATCGCATTGTCGACGACTACTTGCTTCTCCATACACGACGCAAGTACTTGTTGTGTGTTCCCCAAGACCGCATCTTGTGCACTCGCCTCCTTGGCGAATACCACGATTCGCGGCTGGTGGGACACCTTGGCATCGCACGCACACTAGCACGACTCCGCCAACGATTTCACTGGTCCGACATCATCAGCGACGTTAAGCGGTACATTCAGTCATGCGCAGTTTGCCACTAGAACAAAGGGCGCCATCAGCTCCCGTACGGCGAACTGAAACCATTGCCGATTCCTCGGGAACCAGGTCTTTCCATTGCTATGGATGTGACCGGTCCCTTCCCTCGCGATCGCCTTGGCCATGATGGTATTCTCATAGTTGTTGACCGTTTGAGCAAGTATGCTCGATTTCTTCCATGCAAGTATCATGCGACGGCTCCCGAGCTCGCACGACTTTTGCATACCGGCTGGTTTTGCAGACATGGCGTTCCAGAAGACATCGTCAGCCTTTTGGACGACACTCATGGTGGAATCGGGCACCAGCATGAAACCGAGTTCCACACGGCATCCTCAAACGGATGGGCAAATGGAACGCGCGCACCAGACTGCGAAGATGATGCTCCGCAAACTTATCCGCCCGGATCAGAAGGACTGGGTTGACTGCATTCCCGACATCGAGTTCACCTACAACACTTCGGTGCACCCGGCGATCAGCGTGACTGCCTTTGAGTTGCATCACGGTGGACGGAAAGGCCGTATCTTCGCAGACATTTTGTTTCCACGGGCTGCCAATATCAACGCCGCTTGCTCCCCCGCTTCTACACGGAAGTACAGGGAACTACTGGCCAAAACCCGTGCAAATATGTAAAAGGCTCAGGTCTGTATGTAGCAGCAAACGAACCGGCGTCGCATCCCATGTCCAATCCGTGCTGGCGACCTGGTTTGGGTCACCTCAGAGGAATTCGTGCTCGAGCAGCACGTCTCGTGCAAGCTCCTCCCTAAGTGGTTTGGGCCATGGAAGGTCACTTCAGTAGCTGGCGACAACCCCGTGGGTCCATCTTTCATAATCGAGATTCCTCCAGATTTGATGGTCCACCCGATATTTCACGCTTCAAAGCTGGCGGTCTACACTCCAGCCTCCTCGACGGACTTCCCGGGCAGATGGTCGCACGACCCTCCTTCAATGGATGGTCACCAGGAGGTCGACCACGTTCTCACTCATTGCAAGCATGGCAACAAGCCAATGCAGTACAAAGTTACATTCAAGCAATGCGATCCTGACGACACACGCTGGATTTCACGAGCTGACCTGAAGGCGACAACACCCCTCATCTTCGCGCATTACGAAAAACAGCGACTTGCTAAGGAAGCTGCCCAACCTGCCCGCCCCGTACGGACATCGAACAGACTGTGTGTGGCTTACTGATACCACACAGGCCCCAGTTAGGGCCCGGTTCTGTAGCAGTCACGGTTCAGGCCTAGTTACCGGGTCACGATAGGCCCAGTTTAGGTCCAGGTAGGCCTAGGACCCGTCCGTTCAGTTTAGGGTCCGGTAGGCCTCGTTTAGACCCCACCAGACCCAACGGCAAGTTTAGAACATGTACCGGTTCATCAGTAGGCCCAGCCTGCGGCGTAGTTTGGCGCCCATTTTCAGATTCCGAAATCGGATCTGAACCGTTGGGCCTGATCAACGGTCCAGACCCGAAGGACCTCTGTAGGACTGAGCCGACCCAACACTATATCAGCTGGGTACCAGTCTCAGTCGGTAGGTTAGAGTAGACAGGAGGTTGGTCTTCAGGATTAGTGCAGCACTTCAGCGTTAGCAGGATTAGCGCAGCGCTTCAGCATTACGAGGAACAGCGAGGAGAGAAGGAGCTTCGCGGCAAAGAGGAAGTAGCGCAGCATTGGGAGCAGCGCCAGCCACCGGCCCAGCCCGCAGCCCAGCGCCAACCCTTTCAGCGCCATAGCTACCGTGACAGGTACCAGGGAGAAAGGTTTTGCCTTGTCTCCCTCATCTTCCTCCACCGCTCTCTCTCTCTCTCTCTCTCTTCTCTCTCTCTCTCTCTCTCTCTCTCTCTCTCTCTCCCCTTCTACCTTCTCAGTCTAAGTCTACTCTTGGGTTCTCCTACGGGACTACTACGAGTATGAAGGATGGTTATGAATTCTGATTACATTAGAGACAACGACATTGGGACTATAGGTTGAGGACTACTCGTGGGATCTGATTTCATCTTCCTCTGGAGATGTACTTGACATTGTGAGAGCGATATCTGAGACATTGTGAGACACTGTGTTCACGACATTTCGGATTTTCGCTATCTCTAACGTTTCAAGATACTATCTTTGGAAACATTGAGTTGACGTCATCTTCCCTCTCCTCCTCCCTTCGTCTCTCTCCTCCCTCCATTCGTCCGTGGATGATCTCAGACCCTGGTCTTTCGTCTATGTCCAAGGCTAGGGCTTTCACAACCCTGATGTATGATTGAGAGTGTTCGATTGCAGTCCGAGTCAGGTCAGTGTCAGTCCATGTATCTCAAGTTTTCCGCTGTATTTGTATTAACTCTGTATTATCTGGTCGGTTCTGGGAATCTGTGTCATACTTTTGACCGCGTTTCACGAGTATGCAACACTGGTGCACTCGCAAGCCTGCAACACTAAGAAGTCATCGCCACATTGCGGGCATCTACAAGGAATATGAGTGTGAACGATATACAGAAAACTAAGTTGTGAAATCACACAGATGTCCAAGTAGTCGATCTCCAAGCAGAGAGTACAAAATGCACCGAGAAACCATCCATATAGAGCAATACAATGAAGTAATGAGTATGTTCAAGCCCGTAGGCCACACCAACACAATAGCCAAAGTCGCTCCTTTGTCTGGCACCCAGCGCCCAGCCTACTCTACCCGACTATCCTAGCTACAGCTGGTTCACGCAACAATCTCACTTTGACTCTTGAAGACCAATGTACATGACTGTCAACACCATAGCCGACCTCTCTTCATGCCCCAGGTACATATCTCGTCACCCTCAATCAGACCTTGATTACCCACACTCGCCTCCTTCCCTTAAGACCACTTGATCGCCCTCCAACCCTCTTGCGCCCAGCAGCTCGGCTAGGGCTGCCTGGGCCCCGCTGCCCATCAGCACCCCACCTCACCACTACGCGCCCCGTCAGCGCCTTTGGCAGCAGCGCAGCATCAAGCGATAGCGCAGCAGCACTTTTGCATTGCCTGCACTGGCCAGAATGCCTGGCCTGGGCTGCCTCACTCCTTTTATGGAAGTGGCGGCCTCCTGGATGTTGCGTGTGGCCTGGCAAGAAGCTTCCAGTAGCTTCCGGTTGGGCCTCAGATCCTGCGCCAGAAAATTATCGAAACAAATAATACAACCCTTTGGGACTACATTTGGGTCACTAATGGACTAGATCGACTCTTTCAATTGGACTTTCTCAGTATATCCTTAGGTTCATTGTCATGAAATTTTCTGATGTTTTTTCTGAACGTACTCATGGGACGCTAAGGCTGATTCCCAGCTTGTGCCAATTCGAGAGGATGTGGTTGTATCTATGGGACGCTGGACCCGGTTTCTAGCAGGTGCTGCTCCCCACCAATAGATGGAGCACATGTTTTGAAAAAAAAAAAAAAAAGATCGACTCATCACCTATGCCGGTACGGCTATGCCCGTTTGTGGCCACCTACTAGTTACTTAAAACTCTTGGTGAGGCTACAGTAGGCTAACGAAGAGCAGGTTAACGAAGGCTTAAATTTTCAAACAATTTATCTTACTATTTATAACAAAACCAACTTTAATTTTAACCAAACTTACCACCAATTCACCCCCAAGCCCTAATTCTAGTTATGAACCCGTTAGGAAGGAGCTAAAAGTGGGGGTCCTCATTAAGCACTTGTGCGGCTAAAGGATATATTAGGGGGCGTACTTTGTGTTTAAACCATGGCAACCGCGGACATTGACCCGGACATGTCTGGACCGAGGCCTAGACATTTATCTGGACTGGTCCAGACGTTCGGTAATCCGGACAGACACTGGACAACCGGACAGGACCGGACCCATACAGCCCGGACTGGTACACCAGACACAAAAATGTCCAGACCGGAAGAAAAACAAACAAACAAACAAACAAAAAAAAAAAAAAAAAAAAAAAAAAAAAAAAACTAATAATAAGCAGTACAAACCACAGCTTACTGTCACAGACATCCACAAAGGCTCACACAACACTTGAAACCAGTTCTCGACAGACCAATCCCAAGTTACGTCAGAAAAGAGTACGAAACTCGGGAAAAAAAACAGAACTTTCAACTTTGAAGTTAGACTTTCTAATACTTCATATTCATATGGAAATTTTAAAATTTTAACTGTTAAGTTATTCAGATCTGAGTAAGAACAGGGAAAAAAAAAAAAAAAAAAAAAAGATCTAGTCAGGACGAGATGTAAGGCGGAACCTCAGATCTGACCAAAATCATCTCTCTCTCTCTCTCTCTCTCTTCATGTTTTGTGTTGCTTTGCAGCCAGCGCTTCATTTTCGAAATCAGACTCATACCATCCGATGAACTACCAGTGTCGTACAACGGCAGAGGAAGCTGTTGGAAGCGTCTGGCCGCGTCCGGTAGGCCCTGAAACGGCCAAAAAATACCGGGGGCATTTTTTGGGGGCAGCCTGGGAGCCGAAAAACGTCCTAGGCCCCCCAATTTTTTTTTTGAATTTTTCAAAATTGGGCCCAATCCAGACCTACCGGACCAGACACCGGACCCATACGCAGACAACTGGACCGTCTGGATTCCGGTCCAGACGTCTGGCCGGTTGCCATGGTTTAAACCACTTGCACCAGGTTTATAGACCCCCTCTGACGCGAATGAACACAAATTCACGCAATGGGATGATTCATTCACCTCGTGAACGCCTAAAAACGTGCTACATACTGTTGGTTTAAATCACCAGTATGTTTCCCCAGTTCGTTTTCTTTGGCATTGTCGAGCACATAGTCCCCGCGAAAGGGACCTTCTCGGTCGCGTCACGCAGGATTGCCAGATTCGTGTGTCGGGTCACATAAGTGGAAGCAGCGGGGCCGCTCCTGCCGAGTGCGTCAGCTATACCTCCATTAAGTCCCTACGACAGGATAAGGTCTTGCGAGGTACAACCTCCACCCGTGGGAGTTGTCACCATCCCTTGGGTGGGTGTATCCCCGCCAAGCTATTGAGCCACGTACGGAAACTTTTACGTGCAATCACGGAGGTGACCTAGCCGAG